GATGAAACATTTTGGCTATTTTGCCTTGTGACACTTATTGACTGCCCAGAGAACACCAGCCATGGACACTGGAACCTACTTCACTGAACCAGGGAAGCTGTGGTTAAAATACATATATTATCCTCTTATTCTTTTCAAACTTATCACAGAGCATTTAATAGGCATCCACTGGAAACTGGCAGGAACATTTCTCACCTCCCTTCTGGCATTTATATTCTATTAACATTTTGAAGTTGCATGGAGAACCCATCTTTAGCAGCGAAAAAAAAAAAAGAGAGATTTTGAAGCCATAGGTATAGACCATTCTTTGTCACAGAAATAGAAAGGAGCTGCTGGCAAGGTTTCCTGCCCTGTAGCAGTCTGTTTTGGAGCAAGTGGATACAGCTCTATTACACCTGAAGCCTGATGTATGTTCTACCAGAGCACAGATCAATCTTTCCTCTGCCTTAAGATCCTTGCTAAAAGCATACCAACAACCACCAACAGAGCTCACAGCAGCACATTAACATCTCTGCCTGCAGCCTGGAGAAATGCAAGGGCAGAGGAGATGTAGAAGGAAGCTTGCAACTTTCTCTTGGTGGGAGAACCCAGACCTGAAAGAGTCCTTTGGAGTCGGCACCATTCATAGCTCAACCCACCAAAAAGCTACAATGACAGTACAGAGAGAAGGCCTTTTGTAATCTCAATTCACTGATTTGAGACATTTCTTCGGAAATCCCCAGTTCCTTGTGTGCTACAGAAAACTCATTAAAGGCGCACACCCTCTCTTTCCACATAGTTTGTTCCTTCTGGAGATCTCAGAACATTCAACTTCCATTTACTGTAACTAAAAGAAAGCTATGGGGACCATGTCCCTAGAATAAAAGGAGGAGGATTAGCATGTCCTAAATAGCAGATATTCTTATGTACTGACCACCTCAATGCTAAGTAAGAACTCTGAACTTAGTTACTATGATCTATCTTGTTCCTCCAAATTCCCAAAAAAACCCCACAAGAAAATAAGCCCATCCAAATTCTCAAATCAGTCCCCAATACTGGAAAACCTGCTCTCTACAGGACTGCTCCAAAAAAAAAAAAAAAAAGAGAGAAAGAGAGAGACAAGTAAACAAAAAAACACCCAGCATTCTCTCCATTCCCCATCTCCTGAGCAATTCATGTCTCTGATATAGACCTCAGGCATGGATGGATCTCTCAACTACTGTACGAGACTACAGAAACCCTCCTCAAGCACTCCAGCAGGAGCAGCACTGACACTGCGGCAGTCAGGCTGATGGCAGACTCAGAAGGGTGTGAAAAGCAGCCTTTCGTCTGCATGGCCAGCTCCCATGGGAGTTTGCTGAGATACAGTTCCCCACTGAAAATCCCATCCGAGAGTCACCCTGGTCCGAAAAGGAAGGAGATTTTAACCTCCTTTTCTGAATGGTGCTGCCCAAGAGGACCTACCCTCTCCAGCCCTCTGCCTGCTGTGCCCATTCAACTTGACTTGTTGACACACAGCAAAGAGAAACAGTACTTTATGTGAGAGCCCACGACTCATTTACGAATGAAGGGTTGCATGTACTGAGAGAGGCAGGAGAGATGCATCAATGTATCAGGTAAAGAGCACATGCCATAGCCCAGCACAGCTAGACTAACTCTGAGAAGAGCTGGGCAGAAAACAGTGTTCTCACTCTACAAAATGCCCTGCAATCACAAAAATATTTTTGTCATTATGCAAAAGAGCAACAAATAAAACCCTCTAGAATTTGTATTTCCCTCTCTAATAAAAAAAAAAATGTGAGGGAGGAGAAAAAACACTTTCTATGGTGATTATAGGCATTTACTGCAAGAAAACTGATATATTCTAACCCCCAAAGTAACCTGAGCTGGTCTCCTTCCTTCCTCTCAGATGAATATCTACATTAGGCTAACACAAGATGGGAAAACACATCAGAAATTTCATCCTCTCCTCAAACTGTAATAAGTATTCCCATAGCACAATATTTCCCTTGACAAAACAGTTATGTTGGATATTTCCCCCAATGGTCTAATGATAAAAGTCTAGTTTAAAAAAAAAAATCGCATAGTTAAGTAAGAACCAGAATGAGGCAGAGGAGAAGAGAGAGAAGAGGATGTATGTAGCACATACACATTCTCCCTTCATTCAGACGCTGGCAGGTTAACTACTACTCCCTCACTCCTTTCTTCTGCACTGAATATCTTTAACATAAAGAAAATAGCAAAAATAGAGAAATAGAGAAAACAGAAAATTGCAGGACATTCACAAGATATGTTTATTCTTTAGCAGATCATTCACAATGTTATGCTAAACCCACAACCTCTCTAACCACCCACTCTGCAATGCTCCAGGGAGACCACTATCCTGACTACTGGGAGGACATGAGAAGTCTTGTTCTGTTCTAGTTTTGGCATGTATTTGTCGCTACTTAGATATTTTAATGTAAAAGTAGAGAGCAGTAAAGGAAATATGTGCAAAATCAGAGAAAGATGAGCTTGTATTACCATGTCCCCGGCTGCCTGGTACTGAAGAACCACAAGCCTGGTACTGATGCCACCACAAGCTAGACTGGTGGGAGCTGCACACAAGGCAGGGCCCAGCAAGTGGGTCCTTGCTCTTGGCTCCGGGGCAGCTTTGAACCTGAAGTGAAAGGCAATCACCAACAGCACTGGCAGGCCATGGGAGGCGATGCTACAGCAGGGTTTGAGCTGTCTACTTGAGAATTTATTTCAGGCCATCTTCGACTAGAAATACCTGTTTCCGAAGGAGGTATCCAGTGGGCAAAAGGAACATCTCCTTTCTGAGTGTGTCATAGCACCAGAAAAGGAATTTCATTTCACTTTGCATTTATTTTCATCTGCCTGCTTGCACATTCCTTCTCTCTGCTTCAGCAGCAAGAATCATTTTTCTATTTTATTGTAGTAACAGGAAAATGATTATTCACTGCAAAAAACTGGCAGCACAGTTTTGTCAACCGCTACCCTCTTTTAGTAAAACTACCTAATTTCAGTAGGCTCAGCATTGTGCCTGTCACAGGTTTGAAGTCACTTTTTTCAGTGCAGTTGAGTTCAGTAACAGATTTTTGCAATGTTCCACTAAGGTGCTGCAGTGTGTGTCCACACAAGGAGGACTTTCAAAGAGCAAATACAAACAAACGCCTGTCAGATGGAAAGAACCTTAATAGGAATCTCCCTTGCATGAACAAAGGTCCTTTTTAATGCAGTCAGTAAACACAGTAGCCCATCCTGATAACTTTAAGTAATATCCCACAAAAAAAGAAAAAAAAAAAAAAGCTCAGTCTTGTCATCAGAAGGTTCTCATCATCTATATTTACTTCTTTTGGACAAGTCACTCAGGTAATTTGGACAGACCTGCTGCTAACACACTATAAGAGCTGCTATATAGGGAAACCCCAAGGAGGAGAGCAACTCCATCAACATCTGATAGGCCGGGAGTCAAGTCTCACAAGCATCCTCCCTTTCCTGTTCCTGGGAGAGGATGAGAAGATGTGTTGTAAAAAAATAAATAAATAAAAACAAAACAAAACTAAGAAAACCAAACCCAAGAACTTCTTAACAAGCAGCCTGGGCTTAGGAGCTGGACACAAGCATATCAGACAACACAAGTGTGCCAGCACTGGAATTCTCACCCTCTAACGCTGACAGGAGCACCAGAAACTACCCTGCCTTTGTCACAGCAGATGATACAACGTCTGACCTCTGTTTTGGGAAATGTGTAGCTAGAAACACCTCTGCCTGCTGGTCAGATGAGTCAGAGGTGAGATTTATTCACTGCCCAAGGCCAGCACCTCCTCTCGGCATCCTTATGTCCTTCTCACGTTGTTTCTCTCCCCACCTCTAATCAAGTACAGGTTAAATAAGGATATAATTACAAAATTGCTTTCCTCCCATCCCACCTCCATTTCTGGCTGACTACTTAAATCAGACAACATGATTAAAAAAAAAAAAAAAAAGGTAGAGCTGCAAGCAGCTACTGACTTCTTTGTGCAGAATTATGTCTTTTTTTAGTGTCACTGAAAACCACCCCTTTCATTCCTTTTATTTCACCTACAGACTGTTGCTTGGAAAATGGCCGGTAATAATCAAGGAAACAAGATCTCTTCCCTCCCACACAGAACCGGTCTATAACCATCACTCTTGTCATTTTGCTTATAAGCCATCTTCCTTTCCCCCACCTGTCTTACACTCTCTTTGTAGGCTGTAAACTCTTTGATATGTGGACTAGCACTATGTGAGAATTCACAAAGTCTTAATCAGCTCTTGGCACTCCACCCATGCAAACAAATGAATACAGAATTGGGGGATGAGAGAGGGGAAGGAACATGCATGTGATTTAACATTTCGTTTCCCCCGTTGACAACTGTACATCCCTATGAAGAAGACTGCATGAAGTATGTTTGGCAGTTTTGATTGCAGAGAATTTCCTGGATCTGCGATGCAGTAAGTCATCTACATTGTAGGCAAGTATTAATATATGTGTTTAAAAAACAGATCCACTGTTCTGAAGAGGCATCTTCATGATGATGCTTGGATATCTAGGTACTTAGCACCCAACAAGAACATGGACCTCTCAGTACCATCATACACACCTGCTACTCTGGAGCTACAAAAGCTGAAAATCCCTTATAGCCTGGCTATACATTTTTATCCTTCAAGAAAAATCTATTCTGTCTGCCCCCCACCCATCCCTCCAAGAAAAGAAATCACAAAAAAGAAATACTCCTGGATATTCATAACAACTCTTACTGACTTTTGAAATGAACTAAGAGACTTCTCTTGGTTCTGACTTGTTGCTCTCAGAACTTAAGCATCTCAGTAGTTGTGGAGTCCTTTGGTGTCATGCCATCATTGTAGATCATAAGTAGTCTGTATTTTTGGCCCTAGTAAGGATCTTTACTCAACCTGACAGTCCTTCCAAGGAAGCAAAATAGCCCCCTATTCTGTAATCCTTTCCAAATTAATGGGTCATGATCAGCACTCACCTGTGCATGTTTCCATTGGTGGTGAAGGACTGTCCACATACTGAACATTTATAAGGCCTTTCACCTGAGTGCACCAGCATGTGGCGATCAAGGGAGCTCGCTGAGCTCAGAGACTTTCCACAGATGCTGCAGGAATGGTCTGTCCCTCCAGTGTCAGTGTTATGCTAGAGAAAGCAATGATTTTTTTTCATTGAATGACCCTTCTGAAGTGCCAGTCAAACATTAGAGAGAACAACTTAAAAGCAGCCTTACAGAGTTGCTTGCCAAAATGCCTCCCATCAGATGTGCCCTGCATATCTCTCCTCCCAAGCCCTCCCACCTCAACTCCACCCCCTCCCTTTGCTTTTAACTTCCTTAATGCACCATCATGGGTAGCTGCTTCACACAGCCTGATGCCCACTACATGCAGCATTTCTCATGATGTGCAGCAGGAGAGGATCGAGGGGATCCAGCAGCAACCCATCAGACTCATCCCATGGGTGACTTGGGATACATTAAGTCATGCAGTGGTTTGGAATCACAGCAGTGTGAAGGGGAAAACTTCATGACAGAATAAAACACTTATAATATATACTCTTTAAAGGTATTAAATAAAAAGCACTGTGTAATAAGAAAACTGAAGTGCTTTTGTATACATATGTAGACTCCTGTGCTATAAGAATACATCTCAGTAACCATTAACTACTGTGCTATAAGCACCACCTTTTTTTTACATGCATTCAAAGACCTGATGACTTCTTCACACACCCTCTCCCCCAAAATATCTCCAGGGGAATCAAAAAAAATAATTAAATTATAATAATAGTACAGAAGGGAGAACTGAAGTACTAAGCATCATGTGGACTCATAGTGGTGAGACAAAACCAGTGCAGGACCCTCTGACAGGGTAAGGTCAAATTTCCTCTATAAGGTACATACATAGTTGAAGAGGAGAATGGAAGGTCCATAGGTGACTGAAACAATTATCAGCCATTAAAAATAAATAAATAATGTATTTTAAGTTTTGTCTTCCCAAATTCCAGCACCCTTGCTGCAAAGGACTTCCTGCTTCTTACTTTGCATGAACACTAAAGGGAACTGTACTCAAACAGGATAACAAAACAGGACATGTGTCTCTTGATGGAAGGGGTTTTCTGAATCCCTGGGATACCTTAAATGATGCAGAACAGGATACACTTCCTTGTTTGAGCTGCTCCTGGGAAACAGAGGTCTAAGGGGAGAGAGATAACCTAACTACTCTTATTTTAACCTTCTTCATCTACTGAAAGCAAAACAATTGAAAAAAGCATAATGAAACCTTTTGAGCTTGTACATAGAATTCCTTTTTTTTTTTCTTTTGCTATAAGAAAATGCACTCTTAACAAAAGTAAGACTCAAGAGCTGGTACTTTGCATACCTGACGAATGTGCATAGTTAGCTGGTGCTGTGTAGTGCAAATCTTTTCACACAGAGGACAGGTATAGGAAGACTTCTCTTCTTTTGTTTCCTGTGAAAAAAAAAAAAACAGGCAAAAATCAGAAGAAATACAGCTATAAAAGAATTCAAAAGCTACAACTGTGAGGATGGAAAAAAAAAACTAAACCATGTTACGCACTAAAAGCCACTGCTAACAGAACAGCTTGCATATATACATTTATCATCCTGATAGATCCCTCAGGGAAGTTTCAGAAACTTCTGAATTTATAAATAGGAGCCATTTCAACCACCGCAGAAGCGCAGCAGCTGTTTTAACAGCACACAGATACTCAGCAGTAGCAGTTTAGGACAGGAAGTGAAGGCAATTATTGCAACCAGCTCCAACTGCCAGAAGGAGTTTAGGTGAGCAGAAAGTAATTACCCAGACTGGAACACTGCCAGAATACGTGGGCAAACCCCACTAATCTCCCCAAAAGATCTCTAATGAGAACAAGTCCTCAGGACTTCAGGTTTTCCATGCTATCTGAAAGGCAGGGCACTAGCCCAGTGACCTTTTCCGGGGGCTGCTTGTCCTGCTCCATGGCTGACTCAGAAGGAAGAGCTGCATTAACTGAATCACCAGTGCTATTTCCCTTAGCATCCTGTGTTTCTCCTGGAAGCATCTCATCCAGGCACACTGGCCAGGCCCAGCCCTTCTTAAACTTGCAAGATCTGATGAGATCATAGCGAGAAAGAGGTGACAACGCAGGAGTGTACGTGACTCAAAACGAGCACATTATGAACCTCCGCCCAGGTGAGAACCAGGACTAACCATGGCCAAAGCACGAGTACAGACAACGAAGCTGACTGGAGAACTCAGCCCGATTTAAGTATGCCCTTGAGACACTAGTAAAACCACATGAAATGGCACTCTCACAGGAACATTTTCCCGACATTTTCCCAAAGCATCCCACAACGATGGCGCCTCAATAAGAGGCCCGAGTGTGGCTTCTACAGCAAAGCCTGCACACTAAAAGCAACAAGGTCTGGCACTGAAAATTAAACCTCAGTTTTCTGTAGAATGACGCAAATCTTTACCAGCTAGGCAGTTTGACCACTTGTTATCTGAACTTCTGGTACAAAAGGGAGCACAAAAATCATCTCTGTATGACGGATGGGTAAGTATAATGTTCATGCTAAAAGGATGCATTCTTCTGAACTTCCTTGCTGACTACTTTAAGTATCATTAGTAAAACCATGAAAATAAGCAAAAGAAAACCCTAAAGAGCTCTGTAGTCAGAAATGGGAGGGAGTTGATGGATATGAGTGTATCCATTCATTTCCTCTTTCCAAACAACTCTTTTCTCCATCACTGCCCCAAAACTCATCAATTGAGAAACAACTATTTCCAGACTGTCAGACATAAGTATCTGTGGGAAATTCTGGGAATTACTTACCCAAGTCTTTGTGACACATTCCCTGGACTTTTAAGACAAAAGATGCTGACAAAGTGTTAGAGAAAACATTTTGAAGTCTTAAAGAACTTAATGAAGCAATATACCCTTTTAAATCTCTGACTTGGGGGGACCATTGTGTAACGAGAGCTCCCCACTAAAATCTGACATTGGGTTTTCCAAAACAGAATCGAGACAATTTTCTATTAATCTCTGTCATTTGTGGATGAGTAGCTATTTTCTTGTTTTGCTTCAAGTAAACAAAACATGTGACCTCACATCTGAAAATATCAGGACTGCAAAAGTTAGGGTTCCCCATTACCCTTTACTATTTCTCCTGTACATGCATATATTTTTCTAATCATACTTCAGGACTCTATTATCCTAAAGTTGATCTCACTGCAGGCCGCACACAGGGCCAGACGTAAGGTACCATTACTTACAAAACATTCAAAAGCAAGCAGAAAAGGCTGCCACTATGAAATCTGAGCACCCCAAGAAAATTAAAGCATGTTATCCGGGTGACCCACACACACATTTTTTCATACGTACATACATACATACATTTGTACATACATACGTATGTGCAGACGTACATACATACATACATACATTTTTACATATCGTTCTCACCAACAGGAACTCCATCCTACCTACACTACCTTAATTTTACTATATGCAATAAGTCCGGGGAGTCATGCTCAGCTCCAATTATACTGCAACCGTGTTAAAGTTGGCTCAGGACAAGGAACAAGCACACTGTGCGGAGAGGAAAATCCCTGCAGCTGTGCTGACAGTTTGGATGGTGTTTAATCCCCAGGGTATTTCTGTGAAATTATCAACCTATTTTTTTTTTCCCCTTTTGAATGAGTGATACAGTCCTACATGATGCAATTAATTGTTCCAAAGCCTGCTTTCTCGACTGCCTGCCTGCTTTGAATCAGCAAATTAACAGAAGATAGAGTAATTACTGGTTCACCTTGAAGCAAAGATCAGAAACACACTAGAGCTCAGCCAGAGCTGATTAGTATTGAATCTGGGGTTTATTATTAACTAAAACCCAAACTTTCTCCCGTGGTCACAGAGGGTACACATTGCATACCATAACACAGCTCAAGCAAATCGAGGGTAGCTACAACAGGAATTCTGTTGACTGACCCAATTCAGATGAAAAAACATTAGCATCCCTACTGCAAAAGCACTCCCACCAACAAATTTAAAACAGAACACTAATCCACCCCACTGGAGCCAGGTTGGTAAAAAAGCACTTCCTGAGCTGAAAGACAATATTAGCAGCTAATTTGTTAGCTGCTCTCTCTGTAGTAAGCCAGTCTGGCACCACTGTTCTGCATTCAACTGATGGATGACAAGTCATTTTCGAGTTGTGCATTAAGCTGATTTGTTTTTCTCCACCTCCTCAAGAAATGCCATCATTATGGGTTTTGTTTCTTGAGGTTATTTTGTTTTGTTTTCTTCAAGAGCAAGGTTAAGAGCAAAGTTATAACGTGTGCAGGTTGATGTGAGAACACGCTTACTAGACGATGGGTAGACTACAGCCAAGATAAAGTCAGCATTATAAAGGGAACTATAGACTTGGGACAAAGGTTCAGGGCAAAACGTTTCACTGCCAACTCCTGGGAAAGAGCAGTCAGGCCTAGAAAATGAACTAACTGTTATTATCGTTGTAATTACAACACAGGGCACATTCTGACCAGAATTAGAGACCTGTGTGCTGCTACACACTGAAACAATTCAGTGCTTCATTTTGCTACACTGAAAATTTACTGTAGTAAAGGTTGTTAAACAGTTTGATACCCACTTAATATTTCACATCTCACTCTGTTTTCCCAGCAACATAGCCATTTGCCCTCCCCTCCTCCCACTGATAACAATCTTTCATCGTAGAAACAAACAGATTATTTACTATGTTTTCAATGTATTTATTTATTTTTACACCATAAGAATCCCTCTTAATCCTGTCACATTTACTCTTGAACTTTCTTTGATTCGATGCCCATTGAAATATCAGGTGGAATAAAGGTCAGTAATGCTAACAAACTCCCCTGAAGCCAAACCACACGGTGTACCAATGGCAGCTGTGTAATAGCACTGCCACTAGCATAGGTTGAACACCAATGCCTTCTTCACACAATAAAATCCGAGAAACCAGAGCAACCCCAAAGTGGGAGCATGAGCAAGTAAACTTTAAAAACAGGTACCAGTATATTACTTCTCTGTTTCATTTACTATTAATAGATTTTAATTCTTTTTAAGCAAAAAATTCAAGACAAGTCATGTGTCAACACACGATGTTTCGACAAGTGGGCAGCTACTTTTCATGAATCATTCTTCTCAGCTTTTCTGGTCCCTGCTACCTGCTGATTCATTTAAAAATTCTCTGCGTTTCCCCTAAAGTTCAGAAGTCAGACACAAGTATTTGGGACATTTCTTACTGTTCTGCAGCACCTTCAGTGGCAGAGCTTGCCCCAACAAGGGATAAAGCTGTGATTATTTATATCCATGTTTAACTGATATGGTTCGCTCACTTCTTTAGAACGATACTGCTATCAACTGGTGCCATCAACTGGTAAATGGAAAAAAACTGATAAAAAGCTACAAATATTTGTACTGCAGGACTTATGCAAAGCATTCTGCAATAGCTCTTCATATTTTTATTAACAGCGAAGTAAGGGCACCTTACACTGCAAACGTGTGAACTGAGGGGCCTGACAGACGTTTCCTTCTATCACCACCTTTAACCTTTAAGCACCTGGACCTTCACCAGGAATAGGCATGTACTTCACGAGGGGTCCAGCACGCCAGCCGGGCCAAGCCTCACAGCTCCTTTCCATATGGCCCCCTCCTACTTATTCAAGCTATTTTTTTTTTCCCCAGGATAGTGAAACGAACTGGTTCTTCAATGGGCTAGGCTGGGTAGAGGATGCAGAGGGGAAGAATCGGCAGTTGTTAGGCGGCTTTGCCACTGCAGTGGCACCTGTCAGATCAGTTTGCCCACTGCATGAAATGGGAGTGTGTGCTCAGATGTTTTACATCTGAATCCGAGCACGCTGAACCCTTCCGTCTGCAGTTTTCTAAATTTATGTTCTGAAGAGCCATCAGAAAGCACACATAAAAGGGCAAGGAGACAGGAAATAATTCAGGGGGGAAAAAACGGCAAAATATTAAAATAAACCTAATTATGACTTATCTCTTCCAACATGTATTCCCCATGTATTCAGGCTTATGTACCTGGTTCCTCCTGCCAATCCGACTGGGTGCAGGAGACTTTGAGGGGGATTTGACGTTTTGAGGGTTCCCGCCATTTTCAGCGATCTTCCCCACATTCATCACTGCCGACATCATGGCGTCGATGGAGGACAGGTCTGTTCCGTCCAAACTGCTGGGTGAACTTGGGGATACCTTGTAACAGTTTAAGCTTTCCAGCTGCTTCTCTGGAATTAAAAACAAAAACACACATAAGGGTTGCTAAGCCCATCTTAAAAAAAAAAAAACCCAAACCCAGTGTTTTCAGCTGCCTGTATTTCCCAATGCATATTTCAAAGAATTCACAATTCATATTCTGCTTCATTATCAGGAAGTAAAGAAAACAGTCCATGATAATTGGAGCTCTTTTTGTAATAGAAAATATTTATCATTTCACAATTCATAGGAAAAGGTGTAAAGTTTTCCTAATGGGGCCTTGGTGATATCCTGTTTTTCAACCTAAATTCATTGTGGGGCCTACAGTCAGATTTAAAATGGTGTAATTTGTGGTACCTCCTGATCATGATGGACTCTCAGGGCAAGTGCTGATGAAGGCACACTCTGGCAGGCACAATCATTCCAGCAATCAGGCATTTTGAGCTGAACTACAAAATTAGAGAACTAGCAATACAGTGTAGGGTACTAGGTTCTCTATCCAGCTCCTTATATGCAGTAAGCTAAATTTTAAAAATCCCTCTCCCCCCGCCAAAAAAAAACAAATTTAAAAAAATCACCCCTTTACTGCTGCAGCTGACTTCTATACAGTTCCCGTATTAGTCCCTGAAGTATATTATACCCACGGTTAACATTATCCCACCAGTAAAGCTGTTCAGATTCAGACTTCTCCATCACATTTTATATGCAGCAGTGCATTTCACACAGTTCAAGTCACAATTGAGAACCCATCTCTGGTAAAGCCCTTCCACATTCTCTTTTAGGGTCTTGAAAGGGAAAAAGCCTGTCAAACTAAACACTCCTTTTCCCAAAAAGGAGTCTCTCCAACAAAGAATACGACTCTGCAAGTTTAAAGCTCTAGCAAAGCCATCACCTTGGACGGATAGCACAGAAACTTAAAATCTCCATGCAGTGAGAAAGTCTCTGTAACACAAGAGGATGTGAGGGTGAACAAGGAGGAACATGTTTGTCTGTGAACATTTGATCTCTGCATAATACTGCCTCTGGAAGATAAGTTTGAGCATTATAAACAGGTGTTTTTTGAGGATAAGTAATGTGGTGCCAAGTTACTAGCAGCCAAGAAAATCCTAGCTTGGAAGCCTGCAGTGGTAGTTGAGTATTTATGTGCCCATGCCTCTGCTCAGTATATTTCATACTTTTCACACAGAGAAAGGTTACGGATGGGCAAAGAAATTTATGTGCCAGCACTTCTGCTCAATTTACCTTATACACTTTACACAGATAAGGGCTATAGATAGGGTAAGAAATGCTTCTCCAAGCCTTAATCAATGCTCTAAAATAGAGAGGCACTCAGTTCAAGTCAAACCAGTTACCTTCATTTTTCTCCCCTGGTTGACTGAGGCTCTCCAGATCTTGCTCGCTGGTCTCCTCACTTAGTGTGGTATGCTTAGTAGCGTCTGGCTCTTCAGCCTCCTCCTCAGCAGCACCCTCGAGCACTGTGTGAGGGAGATGGGAAAAAGAGAATGGGAGTGAGTTTCCCTGGATGCCGTCCTAGCAAAATAAAACCACAGCCCTTACATTTGAGGGCTCCCGTCCCTGGTAGGGGGGTTAGGACATGGAAATATGCAGTTAGTTGTTGTCAATACAGCCAAGTGCCTGCTCCCACAAGTGACCCGAAAAAGAGCTGGGAGATGTCACTGCCTCTGCCAGCAGCGAAACCGGTGCAAAGCAAGGGAGGGAGCCTTTGCTCAACTTGGTCTTCAGGATTCAGCCAGCAAAAACAGGAGGAGGGAGAGCACGCAAGCGTATCACTGACAGTCATGACATTTGGTTGAGAAGTTGGAAGTGTATTCTGCAGCTAGAGAATTTAAGTAATTCAGCTTCATACATTCCCCCCCGCCCTCTTT